GTAGAAGACAGAGTTTTTCTGAAATGAAAACAATAGAATCCCTAGAATCTTGTTACTAACGCGCCGTATCTTGTTCTCATTCTGTTTAAAAGATATACTGTTATCAACACCTTAATTATAATTGTAAGATAAATCTTTATGAGCAGAAATGCCTTTAGCTATGTTTTAATTTTGAGAGATGTAGCACAGCCCTTTACAGTGGTTGGGTTCGTTAGATTGAGAGCAGTGAACAAGATTGGTGGTTTGTATCAACCTCCAATGACCAGCATAGATTAGAAAAGTAAACATACACTGTTTTCTACTACAAACCGCAACATACGTAGTTTCCCATAGTGAACATTTATAGTTTCAAAGCCATAACAGTTCTTAGAACTCTTAAAACAAACTTTTTAATATCACAAGAAATCTCTTTGCAGTAAGAAATAGGCTTAGGCAGAAACTTTAAGTACAGACAATGGATTGATGCAGCTTACATTATGGTAACTGGTATGTAAATATTCAATAATAATTTCCTTAACCATTTATCAAGATGTAATTTCTAACTGAAAGATTTGTCTACTCGAACTACCTGTGTTGACTGCCTCCCAGGCTTTCAAGTTTTCTCATTAATCTGCTCACTGAAGCTTGTAACTTCTGGCTTCAGTTATCATTTCTAGCCAGAGGTAGGTAAAAGAATATGGAGCCTATTAATTCCTGTTGCCACACTAACTAGATTTTAGGTTTTGAATAAGCTATCTGTTATGCACATTCTCATTAGGCACAAGCATAGACATTAGAACAGGCCCTGAGGCAGTGGCCTTAGGCAGGGGCAGATCCTACAAATGGCGTGTGAGTGGATGGACACCCCCAAACCCAACCGCCATCCTGTGTTTCTGATAAGCAGGGTAAAGAGAGGGTCAGGACCAGAGCTGGACAGATGGTGGCAAATGTGAATGAGGGAGGGACTTGCCCAGAGCTATTTCAGGTGTCCCTGGGCCACCCCAGTCCTATGACCTCCAAATTATGTGCAGTATACAGTATGAAAGGGAGGCTGGTCATCAGGGGTGATATCTTTTGTTCATAAATGAAGGCTAGAGCCGGCAGGCACGTGGAGACATTATGACTTTCACGGGCCCTGTGCCCACCTCTGTGAGGGTCTAAGGGAGCCGTGTGTAGAGGTGCTGTCCAGATGCAGTTTCAGAGTTCCGAGTTCCAAGTCTCAGTTCCACAAATTCAACATATCAGGAGCAGTGCCACCTCCTCTACTTGACAGTGAATCTAGCCACTTCAGCCTCTGTAGGAAAAACAGGTAAGAGGTACTCCTCAGGGACATAGGTGAAGCGTAGCATCTGGTGGAAGAGTCCATCAACATAATAGCTGTTTGAAAAGTTTCTTTCAATAATTAAGGTGGGGGGGAAAGTGGGTAGGTTCTAGGGAGCTAACATTCTGTTGAACCTGCTACTCTGGGAACTGAAAGACCTCAGAGGGAGACACACAAAGAGGTTAGGAAGGGGCTGAGATTAATACTCACCCACCATGTCACTTAATTATCAAAATCTCTTGAGGGGAAAGCCTTCAAGTCCCCTGCTTCCATTTCACATCTTATCTCTAAAACAGTCTGCTTTTGGGGCTGGCCCTTTAACATCTGTTGTGACATGCCACTGAGTGTACAAAAAACAGCCTGAGAAGCTTCCTTCAGACCTTGAGGAATCTATTTAATTTGTGATGGTTTGCATTTTGTTTGTGGGAGGGATAAAAACACAACAAGTCCTAGAAAATAACTACTTCATTGCATATTATAATTTATTCCACCAGGGGGTTGGAAGTATGCCTCCAAATTGCCCTAGCACAATCTTTGAGGATCTGGTGGTTCATACTAGCAAATCTGAAGTCAGTGGAAAATTTCCACACGAGAGAATTATAGCATTGGATCCTTTAAAATGACAACACGTGCACATAGCCCCCCCCCCCCCGCCTGCAGCCCCCCATCCTCACCCCCGGCATTTCTGAATGTCTGGAAATCCTGATCAGGAATTTGAAAAGCAGTCAGGATATATTGCATCAACTGTGTTCCAAAGTATTTATGCAGTGTATGTTTTAATACTAAAAAAATGATTTGGTTAGACTTAGCAGGCTCAGCCTCATTCTCTGAGAGGAGTTCTTAATTGCTGCCATAAAAAATGTCCTGATTTAAATCATAAGATAGTATACAGGGGGTTGATGGCTTGGATTCTTTTTGAAAGTTAGGTAGATAGTGTAGCATGTGGTTATAACCCGTTGCTGGTTTCTATAAAATAGCTAATGGGAAAGAACCAATCTTTCTTTTTTTGTTGTTTTGTTCTTTCTTCCTTTCTCTCTTTTGTCCCTTCTTCTTTTCTTTGTTGCTGAAACAATCATGAGTAAGACTAACAGTTTGCAAGAGCCACTCTCTTTAGATATTTTATCTATTCTTGTTCTCAGATGGCAACTGCAGACATCTCATTTTGACCCCAAATGCCTTGAAATCTGGAAACAGATGGTGGGTAGAAAACTAGAAAGGTGCTGATTTTCAATGTCTGGTCTTGCTGTTCTGATCGTCTCAGGGCTACAGTACATGGTCCAATGCTTTCCCTTAACAGTTATCCTGGCTTGGAATTGCTCTCCCCACTTGGACCCATTTTCATCTAGATAGAGCCTTTTCTTCCTTCAGACCCATATTTTCCATTCTTATGGGAATCTAAATGCAGGCAAGGAGAGGTAGGAAATGGAGAGTTATAGGATGGACCCTGGGCTGGACTTGGCAAGAAGTGTGACAGGTCGGGCTTCCCTGGTGGCGCAGTGGTTGAGAGTCCGCCTGCCGATGCAGGGGACGTGGGTTCGTGCCCCGGTCCGGGAGGATCCCACATGCCATGGAGCGGCTGGGCCTGTGAGCCAAGGCCGCTGAGCCTGTGCATCCGGAGCCTGTGCTCCGCAACGGGAGAGGCCACAACAGTGAGAGGCCTGCGTACCGCAAAAAAAAAAAAAAAAAAAAAAAAAAGGTGACAGGTCAGTGGAGGCTGTAGGGGTGGGGAGACCATCAATCCTAATCACAGTTATGATTGTGGGGGTGGGAAAGGGACTTGTGGGACTGGAAGGATCCCAGTTCAAACTGGGCTAACCAATCAGTTAAAGGAGGGCCCTCAGCGGAAGATGCCATGTAGCAAGCCACTATTTATACCAGGGGTGCTTGGGAACATAATGGAAGTCTCCTCATTAAAGCCCCACATCCGAACCACCAGCAAGTCCTATCGACTCTACTCCCCAAAGATATTTAAAATCTAATATTCTCGCCACCTCTGCCACTAATACCTGGTCGGAGTCACCACCTTCTCTTACTAATCATCAGGGAAATGCAAATCAAAACCACAATGAGATATCACCTCACACCTGTTAGAATGGACATTATCAAAAAGACAAGAAATAACAAGTATTGGCAAGGATGTGGAAAAAAGGAAACGCAGGGCACTGTTGATAGGAAAGTAAATTGGTGCAGCCACTATGGAAAACTCTATGAAGGGCTTCTCAAAAAAATAAAAATAGGACTACCATATGATCCAGCAGTTCCACTTCTGGGTATTTATCCAAAGAAAATAAAAACACTACTCTGAAAAGTTATATGCACCCCTATGTTCATTGCAGCATTATTTACAATAATCAATATATGGAAGCAACCTAAATGTCCATCAACAGATGAATGGATAAAGACGATGTGATATAGATAGATAGATAGATAGGTATAGATATATATACAATGGAATATAACCATAAAAAAGAATGAAACCTTGCCATTTGCAATGACATGGATGGAACTTGAGGGTAATATACTAAGTGCAATAAGTCATACAGAGAAAGACAAATACTGTATGATTTCACTTCTATGTGAAATCTAAAAAATAAAACAAATGAACAAATGAAACAAAACAAAACTCATTGATATAGAGAACAGGTTGGTGGTTGCCAAAGGGGAGGGGTGTTGGGAGAGTGGGTGAAATGAGTGAAGAGGATCAAGAGGTACAAACTTCCAGTTATAAAATAAATAAGTTGGGCTTCCCTGGTGGCGCAGTGGTTGAGAGTCCACCTGCCGACGCAGGGGACACGGGTTTGTGCCCCGGTCCGGGAAGATCCCACATGCCGCGCAGCAGCTGGGCCCGTGAGCCATGGCCGCTGAGCCTGCGCGTCCGGAGCCTGTGCTCCGCAACGGGAGAGGCCACAACAGTGAGAGGCCCGCGCACCGCAAAACAAAAACAAAAATAAATAAATAAGTCATGGGGGTGTAAAACAGAGCATGGTGACTATAGTTAATATTATATTGCATATTCAAAAGTTGCTAAGAGAGTAGATCTTAAAAGTACTCATCACAAGAAAAAAAAATTGTAACAATGTGGTGATGGATGGTAACTAGACTTATTGTGGTGGTCATTTCACAGTGTGTACAAATATTAAATCATTACGTTATACACCTGAAACTAATACAGTGTTGCATGTCAATTATACCTCAATAATAAAAAAATTTTTAAATTAGTTTTTATTGGAGTATAGTTGATGTACAATGCTGTGTTAGTTTCTGCTGTACAGCGAAGTGAATCAGTTATACATACACATATATCCAGTCTTTTTTAGATTCTATTCCCATATAGGTCATTACAGAGTATAGAACAGAGCTCCCTGTGCTATACAGTAGATACATATTAGTTCTCTATTTTATATATAGTAGTGTGGATATGTCAGTACCAATCTCCCAATTTATCCCTCGCCTCCTCCACTTTCCCCCTTGGTAACCATAAATTTGTTTTCTACATCTGTGACTATTTCTGTTTTGTAAATAAGTTTGTTTGTACCATTTTAATTCAAAAGTTAAAAAAAAAGCCAAAATCCTTACCAGGGCCGACAGGGCCCTCCATGGGACTCTCCCTTCCCCTCTTCTTTCTGACATTATATCCTCTGTCTTCCCCTTCCTTTGTCCTGATGCAATGGTCCATCTACTGTTTTCCTTTTCATTCCAGGCACACTCTGATATCCGAGCTTCGTTCTTCCCTCTGGCTGGAGCACATTTACCCCAGAGAGCTGTGTGGGCCACTCCAACTCCTCCAGGTCTTTGCTCACAGGTCACCCTCCTGGTGAGTCTTCCCTGAGCACATTTTAAAACATCTTACCCCCTGCCCCGCTCTGGCTTGCTCTGTCCATCTTCCCTGCTTTACTTTTCTCCATAGCACTTATCACTCTCTGATGTACTATATGTTTTATTTTTTGGTTTATTTTGTGTTTCTTTCTCAGCAGAACATAAGCACATTTGCTTTCTAATGTAGCCACAGAGCTTAGAGCAATACATAGCATGTAGCAAGCACTTAATAACTATTTATTGAATGAATAAATGAATGAGTTCATTAAACAGACCCCCAGTAGTGACAGGGAGAACAAGACAGCTCAAGAGTCAATGGAATTGTCAGAGTCCCAGTTCATGGTGACAAGGCTAGGTTTTTGGGAAAACAAAAGCAAATAAGATGTTCATGTTTCTTAGATGCTCATAGTAGAGGAGCCATATACAGGATGTTATCAGTTTGTCAGAGAATGATCAATGCCTGTGCTCATATAGATTGAACACAGCCAGAGGCTGGCATCAGGACTCTAGCCCTTCTGTGAACGTCTGTAACAATCACTGTCTCACCCATCCATCCATCCATCCATCCATCCATCCATCCATCCACCCAGTCTTATGACAGTTGTTTATCCAATGTTTTTGCAAAACCAGCTTTGCATTGCTCAGATTTTCTGAACATCTCTCCTACAGAACTGAGCATTTTTGTGAGCAGGAATCTCCACATCATTAAATCTTGAATACTCCCATTCCCTGACATGAAGTCTTGAATGAATGAACCTTGGACAACGGGTTGTGCCTTGTTTTTTCTCTTTAAAACCTAAGAGAAAGAATAACAAGAATGGATGAATTAATATACTAAAGGTCTTGGAATTTTTCAAAGTTAGAGTTCAGATGTTTCTAACTGGCGCTGGGTACTCTCCCCGTTCTGCACATTTGCCTTTGCTCATTCAGTTGTGCCCTCCACATGAGATGGCTGATCTCCCACGATCATTTCCTTTCATTTGGGAACCTGGTAAACCCAAGGCTGGTCCCAACGCTGGAAAAGAGGCTTCGTTCCTGGTTATTTATTCCATTAATTGCTAGGTTGTTTTTGTCTATCTCACTGACTTCATTTCTCTTTCTCGCTCCATATTCTACTTGATATTAAATAACTGTAGACTTTTCACACAATCAGGCTCTTAAAATGGGTGTGTGAGTGTTCCTCTAAACATATTTTAATTTCTCACTCTGTCTTAGTCTGCTTAGATTGCCATAACAATAATATCATTGGCTGGGTGGCTTGAACACGGAAATACATTTTCTCACAGTTCTGGAGGCTAGAAGTCTGGGATCAGGGTGCCAGCCTGGTTGGGCTCTGGTGAGGCCTCTCTCTCTGGCTTGCAGATGACCGTCTTCTTGCTGTGTCCTCACGTGGCCTTTCCTCAGCGTATGCAGTTGGGAAGAAAGGTCTTTCTCCCTTCCTCTTCCTATAAGGCTACCAGTCCTATTGGATTACGACCCCACTCTTATGACCTCATTTCACCTTAATTACCACCCTAAAAGTTCTTTTTCTAAATATATCATTGCATTGTGAGTTAGGACTTCAACATAGGAACTTGAAGTGGGGGGACACAATTCAGTCCGTATCACGGCCCTTCTTCAGATACACAATGCCAAGTATCAATGGGGTTAAATTCGTTGTAACTTTAATTTGATCATAACTTCAAGCTGTGTTTATGCCCAGCTTTTGTATTTTCTTCCTCACTTAGCATGCGTTTCTGTTCACCACTTAAATCAACTTCAGGGAATGTGATTTATAGATTAGTTTTGCTTTGCTCCCATTGTCAAGTTTTTACTTTACTCTGAATCTGGTTCCTTTTATTTTTGTTAAAAAGACAGGTCAGTATGGAATCCTCTGTCCCCATTAAACACTTGGTACTCGTTGTCCCATCTAGCCCTCATCTCCTCTATCTTATCTGTAGTTGCACAGACATAAACACACACACACACACACACACTCTTCTCATGGTTGCTTTCTTCTTTTTTTTCCCCTCCTTGGTACTAGTATCTTTTATTTTTGTGAATAAAGCCATAATGTTAGAAGATTTATCAGTGAAATTTTCCTTTGTCTCTCTTTTTTTTAATATTTTAATTTTATTGGAGTGTAGTTGATGTACAATGTTGTGTTAGTTTCAGGTGTACAGCAGAGTGATTCAGTTATACATATACATGTATTCATTCTTTTTTAGATTCTTTTCTCATGTAGGTTATCACGGAATACTGAGTAGAGTTCCCTGTGCTATACAGTATGTCTCCATTAGTCATCATTCTTGTTTATAATAGTGTGTGTATGTTCATCCCAAGCTCCTGATTTATCCCTCCCCACTATGTTTCCCCTTTCGTAACTACAAGTTTGTTTTCAATGTCTGTAAGTCTGTTTCTGTTTTGTAAATAACTTCATTTGTATCATTTTTAATATTAGATTCCACATATGAGTGATATCATATGATACTTGTCTTTCTCTGTCTGACTTACTTCACTTAGTGTGACAATCTCTAGATCCATCCATGTTGCTGCAGATGGCATTATTTCATTCTTTTTTATGGCTGAGTAATATTCCATTGTATATATGTGCCATATCTTCTTTATCCTTTCATCTGTTGATGGACACTTAGGTTGCTTCCATGTCCTGGCTATTGTAAATAGAGCTGCAGTGAACATTGTGGTACATGACTCTTTTTGAATTATGGTTCTTTCAGGGTATATGCCCAGTAGTGGGATTGCTGGGTCATATGGTAGTTCTATTTTTAGTTTTTTAAGGAACCGCCATACTGTTCTCCATTGTGGCCGTATCAATTTACATTCCCACCAACAGTGCAAGAGGGTTCCCTTTTCTCCACACCCTCTCCAGCATTTATTGTTTATAGACTTTTTGTTGATGGCCATTCTGACTGGTGTGAGGTGATACCTCATTGTAGTTTTGATTTTCATTTCTCTGATAATTAGTGATGTTGAGCATCTTTTCATGTTCTTTTGGCCATCTGTATGGTGTCTTCTTTGGAGAACATGGCTGCTTTCTTCTAATCATTCGAGTTTCTGTTAAAAAGCTTCACTGAGATCTTGCCCAACTATCATATCTACAGAAGTTAGTCCCACCACATCACCTATTTTCTTTTCTCTCTAACACCTAAGACTACCGTCATTTTGTGGATGGGTAAAATGAGGCTAGAGAACATAAGGGATTTGTCCACAGTTGCTCAGTTTCTGAGCAGCAGAGAGAAGGCCTGAGAAGCAGAGGGTGGTGCTCAAAGGGGTCTGGAGGTAAACCTAACCTATTACAAAACTTACCTCCTAGCAGTCCCAGGCCTTCCCTCATAAAAAGCAAGACAGCAGTCATTGGCTCTAATTGCTTCAAAGTCTTTTCATAGTGGCCCTTGCTTCTTTCCTTTTTCTGTTGCCTTGATAAAACTGTCTGGCAGAGTGGAGGGACAAGCATGGAAGGACACATTTGCCACATATAGGGTTGACAGATTTAGCAAATAAAAATGTAGAAGCACAGCTGTCTTTGAATTTCAGTTAAACAATAAATATTTTTTGAGAATAAGTATGTCCCATGCAATGTTTGGGCCATACTTAGGCTAAAACGTTATTTGTGTTTCATCTGCAGTTCAGTTTAACTGGACCTCCTGTGTTTTATCTGGCACCCCTAACTAGACGGCTGCTCTACAACTACATGCATCCTATGGATAATGGTTGTAAGCCCCAGGTGAGCGTGCTGGGGAAAGAAAACAAGCAATAAAAGCCCTTTGAGCTCTGTTGTCTTATTTACTTAGGTGAAACTCTGATGTTCTTTGACAATAGAAACAACACCACAAATATTCCGAAAAGAATATATATTTTACTTTGGAAGCTTTGACTTATATCTTTATCAGCTCAGTTGCTTTGGTTTTCTGTGAATTCACAGCATTTAATATCTAAGCACCAAAGGAACTAGAAAACTGCACGAGTTCATCACCGCTGGACTCGTGTTTGGGTAAACTTGGACAAGCTGATTTACCTCTCTTCATTTGCAAAATGAAGATAATAATAGCCTGTGTCTTATAAGATTGTGAGGGGTAAAGGAGAAAATGTATATGAAAGTGGCTAGTCCAGTGCTTGCCATATAGTAGACACTCAATACATAACAGCTTCACTTTTCTTGCCTCACCACTGCATTTCTGAGAGTGAACAACATCACTTCCCCAGACCATGGCAAAACGTGAGGCCGAAGAAATTACTGTTACGTCTCAAAGAAATTATTACCCTTACTTACCAATAACCAGATAACCAGCAGAGCCAAATCAATCGATTTGTTCATTCAGGCACTTAGTCAGCAAGTATTTATCGAAGACCTAACATCTGCCAGGGGCAGTGTTCTAGGAGCTGGGGACACACGGTAAACGGAGCGAAGTTGCTATTTTCCCATGAGAATTGCGTATATTACAGTGTGTGTGTGTGGCGTGGGGAGGCAGATGGTGAATGGATAAGCAGGAAAACGTATTATATCACATTTTACGTGGAGCAACCAATTAGGGCAAATGTTGTGAAACGGAGTCCTTGAATTTGGTTGTGTGGAGATCACTGGTGGCCTTGATAACAACAATTGTTCCCTGAGGTTGTTTAAGGGAACGAGGGGAGCAGCAGGAAGTAGAGAAAGGAACTTTGCTAAAAAGCAAGCAGAAAAATAATTGGGTGGCAATTCAAAGGGGATATGGGGTTAAAAGACTGGATTTTTTAATGGGAGTCATGATAGCATGTTTAAGCCGAAAGGAATGACCAATAGAGAGGAACGGATAATGCAGATGGCAAAGGACAACTCTGGGAGTGAGTGCTTGACAAGGCGAGAAGGCAAGAGACTCCAACGGACAAGAAGATTTGTGCTTAGAGTGCTACCGGGACCTTTTGCTCGCTGCAGAAAGAGGGGAGGTCGAATATATGAGGTTGAGGGTACAGGGGCTTAGTCAACTCGGCAATGGGAACATGTGGAAGTTCTGTTCTACC